CCAGAGCCGCCTGCCACAGGCAGACACAGGTGAGCACCAGCCCCTTTCCCATCAACCTTGTGTCTCCATTCCTGCAACTCCGCACGCACCATAAGCCAGATGCAGTCTTTTTGACCTGACTGTGAATCAGCCCAGTCTATACACCTTTAATCTTTACAGACCTTTCTTTAGGGGGAAAAACTGACAGCTTGGGAAGCAGGGGGAAGGGCAAACCTGGGTCTGTTGCTGTACTAGCTTGCTCTGTTCCTTCCATTCCACCAGGGATTTTCAGTGAAATCACTCCAAATTCAGACTACTTGTGAAGTAGAGAAGCAAACAGACACCTCATAATAACCATATTATCTTCATCATCACCCATTTTCCACAGGATGCGTTTTTATGGCAAAAACTATGGTTCACTGGAACACAAATGTTCACTTGGAACTGCTTAGGTTCAGCATACTTCTGTGGGGCTGCAGACAGTCAAGACACAACTATATCTCCATTTGTTAAGAATCACCAGTTTAGGGGCAGAAATGGTAAAGCCCTTGGCAGCTATTAGGTGAAACTGATGGTGCGCTGGTAGACATGAATCTACCTAGAACATTCATTTCACTCAAGATCTGCAGCATCTTGTGAGCTTCTAGTCTGGCAGCAATTTCAGTGCCTTCTGGTGTATGAAATACAACATGAGCAAACAAATTCCAGACTTCAAGAGACTTCCATTTTTAAGCCAGCACTAGTTGTTAGAAATAGTGATAACATTAAAGTCAGAAAATACAGGATGTATCTAAACAGTTTAAGTGAAATATGGTTGAAAGAATTAAAATATCAACCAAAATCAGTTTTGTGAGTGGCTGAGTTACTTGATTTCATTAAAATAATTTCTAAGTGCCCCAAAAAAATCAAATACCATCATGAAAACTACTTGTAAGTCTCCAGTTTTTAGAGTGTCTGTAATAAGAATGATTGTACGAAAAATAGATGTGTAGAAAGAAAAAGGAACTCTGAAGTTTCCCTGGCAAACACGATTTTTCTTGTTTCAGTTTTGCAGTAGATTTCAAGTAACTCCAGCAGATTTTGAATAGGCTGTGCACACACTGAGGAAACTGACTCTGCACATACAAAATGCAGACACTCCAAAGCATGTCATCCAGCATTCAAGCACAGGAATTCCCACATGAATTTAAACCTGTAAGTCAGTATCTCCGATCTGCATCTCCGCTCTCTGAAAATGTGACGCTGCATTCACTGAACCTTGGGACATCAGCAATGGATAAAAAAATATGGGTTTTTTAATCACAGTTCACCACAGTTTAAAGGTTTTCACTATAAATTTAGCTTCATGTCAAACATCTCAGGCTCTGGGATGTTACTTTGTTCAAAAAGCAAAATAAATCTCTATTTTACCCATTCCCAAGAGGCCTGAATGTGACTAAATGGCACCAGTAACTTCAGCATGGCAACAGGCATCGATTTTGCAAAAAGAAAGACTGAGCTCAGGGAACAATTCCGATATATGAGAGACAGGAATATGAGCTTTGGGCATTTTGTTGTGTATGGCTCCATGCTGTAGCCAGGGGCCCAAGAACACAGAGGCCTTTAAAGGAGCACAACTCAGTGCAGCAAATTGTTAATGCCCGACTGACCTTCCTTCACGTAAAATCAACAGTTCCCACATATCTATTAATTTATAAATTTAAAGAGATTAATGGTGAAGACAAAATTAATTTTCCAGTATCTCTCTCCTCCTTTTGTCTCTGAATGCAAGCAAAATTCCAAATGGAACAAAAGTACATTTGTTTTTAATAGGGGTAGAAACAGTACTAAAACCAGAATACAGTAAAAATGGAGTCAGTGTGAGAATGTTTGATTTACCAGTATCTGTGCTTCCTATAGTTCTTAATCTATCCCTGTTATGTAGTCACTCATTCAAGCTGTTGCAACTTTGGTACTGGGCATGAAGCTGGCTGCGTAACAAACACTTCTTGTGGTTAAGCTATCACCAGAATTTCATTGAAGAACAACAGGAAGGGTCAGAAAGTACTTAGCTATGCTAGAAAACCCCAAAATGCTCAGTGGTCATGGACACAGAAGATTTTTACTGATATTAAAAAAACTCACAAACTTTCCTGCTTAAGTTAAAACACCAAAAGATGATAAAATACTATTTACAGATCTTTTTCTTACCTAATAATGACACACTGATTTTCTCTGTCAATAATCATGTTCCTGTACATGCTGTCTGCAAGAGCATAAATATGTGGTGGGTTCTCATATTGTGCCTAGGAGAGGAGATAAAGAGCCGTTATCCAACACAGCATTAAACAACACAGAAAGAGCACTGTAATTTTTAATTTAAATTGGAAGAGTTATTTTCCTGGAAAAACAACTCCGAATCCTCCTTTAGACTGAATTTTCCCCAGGAATTTTTTTGTTCGTTTAATAAAAACAAACCAAAGTCTCTGGGTTTTGTTACTGATCTGCCATCCATAATTTTCTTCTAAACTATCGTAAACACCCTCTTCTAAAAATGGTTTGTGCTTGAAATATATTACTCACATAATTTAAGCCTATTGCATGTGGTCACATGCTAACAATAAACTACCTAAACTGCTACACAGAGCCTGGTGTTGTACGTCTCATTTTCACCTACTGAACCCATTCAAACCAAATGCTTTCCCAGATCTCTGGACATGGCTAACTTGAGCAAAGCAGGAAAGAGAATTTTAAGTCCCTAATGTCTTCGTGCTGACTCATTCTTTAAGCTCTATGTTCAAAAATGGCATTTAATTTTGGCAACTCATTTTCTTTTATTGTTCTTGTCCAGTTTGAGAGTTCTCGAGTCATTTTGTATTGTGCACCACGCTTTTAAGTTTAACAACTGCCTTTGCAAGGAGGAGTGTCTAACCCATGCCAAGGAGAGAAACCTGACACAGGCTAGAGTTAATCAGTACAAGCATTTTCTTGAAATACTAATCCTGTATTTCAGGGAATTCAATCTGAAGACTCAATATATGGTGGTAATGGGTATCAGCCAAGTTCTTCCAGGCTAGTGCAACACTACCAAAACCCAGAAACAAACGCTTCCAAGAGTTTAACTATATTGACTAATATTTACATGCTGCAGTACATTTTAGACTGCTTTACTTACTGCTCCTTGGTACATTTCAATTTCCTTTTCCCCAAAATATGGCATTTGCTTGAAAGGATTCACAGAGATTAACACAGAGCCAATATATGTCTGTATTCAAAAGCCGTTAAGGTAACTACAGTTTCATAAAGTATTATCTTAGCACTAGTGACTGACAAACAACTTTTCCATCTATTACATAATACAGCACAGCTTCAAACAACAGTAAAAACTCCACCACTTACAATTGTTAATAAAAATGAAATTAGCAGGCTTACTAAATATAAACGTATCACTCAATGGGATGCATTCCTATTGTCAAGATATTTATTTTAGGACAAGCTAAGTATAGCAGTATGTATCAGAGGTCCAAATATGACGCACCTCAAATGAAAATACAGAAAGGAAATGGCATATTTAAACTGTTTTACTCCTTTGTAACTGAGGAGGTCATATTGTCAGTATTAGAAAATATTGTTTTGACCTTTGCAGAATATAGTACAGTGACACACTCTGATCTCATAGAGATAGTGCTGAGCACGCACAGGCAGATGGAAACAGCCAGCACTGAGCTAAACTGGACAATTATTCATCTGCATGTACTAGTAGGGGAGCTAAGGGAATTAGGTAATTCAGTACGTGGTGTTATTTTATGAGTGTAACTATTAACAGTCCCTTAGAGTCTTATCCTGCTGCCTGCCCTGTAAGAAGCCCCTCAGTTTCAAGCTATTATTAGTCCCAGAAAGCTTTTTTGCAACATTCTGAGTATTAGTATTTCACCGTTCCGCATTCAGCTCCACATGTACCTACATTCACAACTTCAGGAGCTTTAGACTCAGAGCTGCAGTATACATACACGAAGCAACTGATGCTACACTACGGGCAGCACTGGTTCACTGAGCTGGAGTCAGCAGTGTACCCATGTCAATGAGGCCAAAATGTTGTACCACAGGTTTCATTTAACAATCTGGAATTATTCCCAGGCAAATTTACTATCTAAGCTTTCCAGACAAAAGTGGGAAAATTATCAAATTTATACTGCTGGATTATCCTATGTAAAAATCTACTGTTGTAGTGCCACAGCACAGAACAGGAACATGTTAGAGAAGCATAAATCAGCGAGCAGAATTTCTGTACTCTTGATTTGCAGTGCTTTCTTCCTACTTTTTTTTCCCCACTTAATTCAAAGAAGAGTGACATCATCTGGGTCTCAAATATAATAAATCAAGTATTCAGTCAGTATAAACATCCGAAGTGGCAGTTTTCTGTTGGTAAACAATACCAGCATTTTCTGGGAGGATTCTGTAATCTCTATGCAACGTAGCACAGAGAAATGTTCATTCATGGGTGGACATACAAACAATTGAAAGATTCAAGAGAAGATCTCCATTCTAGAAAGAAAAGCCTTTGCAGCACTGCAAAAGGAGTCTTTTCTCCCTACACAAAAGAATTATAATGCTTTACAAGAAGACTCTGATCATTCATGTGACCACAAGTCCCCTTGGAAAACACTCTTATTCCTGCTTCAGTACAAAGACCATCTCCACATTAAATGTCACTTGGTTTTATAGAAAAAAAGCATAAAACCACTTCTTCGGCACAGAGCGACAAAGACTTTGTGAATTTACTCATGGAAGATGCAGCATTCCACAGGGACAAAGCGCTCGTGTTACTGACAGGAAGAGCACCACAGTTTGCCTCAGTACCACAGTTTGACAAGTATCGCACAACTTTGTCACGTTTCTGTAATGCCAATTTAATAATGGTGTGGTAATTCATTGAACAGAGAATCCAAACCCATGCGCACACACATATGAAAAACCTCTGCAGTTTGGGATGTAAACGTCAGCATAACTGCAACATTAATTTTCCCCTATCAGTCCTCAGTAAACGGAGCTGCTACTTAGCTCTTAACCATCTGAATATATGGAAAGAGCCAGGAGATGGTTTTATTTCCTTCCCCTTCTGCTAAAAAGTGTCAAAACTCTTCAAGGAAATTATTCCCCAGTATTCCACACTAGGAAGTATGAAAACCTGGCTACAGAAGATTATGCACTTTCTAGTACATCATCATACTGACCAGTGTTTACCAAACTCATTATTGCAGCTCATGCTACACTGTGAACGCTAAAATGACATAGTGACTGTTCTTATCTCAAGGAATTGCTTTCATAAGAAATTTAAAATAAAATTTTGCCAAGCAACCCGTTGGTGCTGAAATACATTTTCCTTGCTGGGTTGTATGTTCAGGTACTTAAATCATCTGCTTTATCACAGAAAAAAAATGAAGCGTGAACACTGTGGATTTACAGATGTTCAGATGGTCACCTGTTTCCATCAGCCTGTGATTCCCACTACTAACAACTCCAGAATAAGTTGTAAATGGGATTATGTCACAGAAGAAATGCTACTTGGAAAGCATTAGCGTTTGGGAGGTATAAAGGACAACATGGTATCAAGACACATACTTACATCTTAAACCTACTAATTCTTGCTCTTAGAAGTATTATTACCGCAGTAGCTTCAGGGGTCACACATATAAATGTACAAAGCTACAGACACATCTTCAATAATAACAAGAACAATTCCACATATCAAAAAGAATACCTTAAAATAACTTTTCAGATCTTAATTTCAACCCTCATAATTACCTCAGTTTCAAAGCATTTTGTGTCGTCTCAGGTGAACTGCCACATAAAATACTCAGCACCTTTGAGTAATCTGCTTACACAGAATACATACATATAACCAGTTTCACATTGGCTCAGCAAGTCGACAGGACCCCTCCAAAAACAATGCTATAAAGGATACAAAAATATAATCATCCATGTATCGCTTCTTTAGGTTCTCCACTATGGAATCCTCTGTGATTTTGGAAAGAAGGACCATATCATCCACTCCACTGTGCTTGACATTGTGGCTCTGCCAGTGATACCTGTAGTGTCCTTTGCTGCCCTGCAGGAAAGCAGAATAAGCACCAAAAAGGTTATGATGTTTCTCATTAGCATCAAATAACTGAAAGCCATCTATTCAGATTTTAACTTCCAAAATGTTCTTCAATGAATTCTAATTCTTGACCCAGGCATTACATAAAAGCATACATAAATGCTGTCAACTGACTTACCTCTGAACCATTAAAGAATTGCAGTGCCCCCAAAAATCTGAAGGTCATGCCATGGTTTTGTGAATGTCTACACACAGAAGGGTTTTCAGACGGCAGACATTCCTAAATCTAGCAGGAAAAAATAATTTCTCCAACTAAGATGCAGTTATTGGAAGCTAAGGATGCAGAAATTACATTCCTACAGTGCAACTATTAGTAGTGAGGATGATTACCACCAGCAGGATCAATTCTCCACCCTTTACAGTCTTTTAAGTCAAACCTGCACATATGCTGTAACACAAGTGGAAGCCATGAGCCTGATGCAGTAAGTACGCAGTGATGTTCTGCAGATGACGTTACACAGTTCGTCAGCTGCACGTCTTAACAGTCCCTTTTGATCCTTAGTCACCACGCTTAACTGACATCTAAATAGATATTCTCTCCCTGCACTTACAGACTACTATTTCAGGATAGTACTGAAAACTTGTGACATTTCAAGCTGTACCACTTGAAATCAGAGTCTGTTTTCCTTCCAGCTGATCTGAACAGTAGTTAGGTTCTGTAGATACACCCACAAACAGATTTAAACCCAGTCTAGATCAATGCTATTAATTCAGCTACAAACCTGCTCTCCAAACCCAAACCTATTCGCTGTAGCCTGGCAGATGATGCTAATGGAGTTCTGCCATCTCACCTTTTTATACTTTTTTTTAATGCAATGGTGAAATTAGTGATGCTGGAATTAACACGTTTTACCCTGAGAAGCTGTGTGTGCTGTCAAGGAAGATGTGGCCAACAAAATGGCAATTCTCTGTATTCCCCTCATTTTTTAATAGCACAATTTCAAACAACGTGATTTATCCACACTGCTCTCGTGTGTTATGGGATCAAGTAATATTTATCAGAATACACATGAATTATTAGTATAAAGTAGTTAGCAGAATAAAATAATGCCTGATTTTACAGATTAAATAAGAAAATACAGGTACTCTGAACACTTTGGCTGCACTCCAGTATTTCAAAACGGGACATTAGCAACTTAGAGAGGTGCAACTTTTTTGTGTGCACACTTTCGCAGTAGCAAACGACCTCTACCAACAGCAGCTCTACCAACACAAAAGCTCATCTGCCAAATTGTTCCCTCATGTAAACAGTCAAGCACTTGTACCAAGATCAGGCACAGGAGCAGGAACAACAAATGGAGCCAGGGAGCACATGGTTGTTAATTTAAGCTGGGTTGGCTGAAAGTGCTCATTAAACTAGTTTCAGACTACATTTTCCCACAAACTTCACTGCATCTAACAGGGGAAAACCCAACAAGAACTAACGAAGACACAGATTTAATGCACAATGTATATTAGCAAATGGAGTCAGGCCTATAGGTTAGCCTCATCTCAACTGACAGAAAAACCAAGGACCAACTGGATTTTTAGCTCAGGTTCAATCAGCTTGCACTAAAACCAGCCCCATTTTACTACTGCAGGCAGCACAGAACTGTAGGCTTTACATGTGTCTTCTGTTAAGTCTCCAGCCATCGCTACCACTGACGCAGCTCTGTCACTGCTAACACTGAAGAAGAGTTGCAAGCTTGAATTAAAAGACTGCTTTTAAATTTAATACAGAGGAGGTAAATACATTGAAAAGTCACAATCTCAGCAATTTTCTTACATGAGCTACAATAAAACAGCAATCTTAAACTAGCTGAGTTTGCATGAACCTTGTCAATTTTACATTTGTACAATGGAAGCAGTGAGCTGAAAGCACTGAGGAAATGAAGAAACCAATTAATTTCTGGAAATTGTTATGAAACAATTTGTGACTGAAAAAATCAGTTGGAAGGTCAGGAGAAAAGAGAAGTCCAACAGAGAAGCATCATTTCCTTCATTGTACTCATTAGCTATTTGTGAAACTATATTTTGGAAAAAGGAGTTGGCACGGTGGACAAAAAGGTATGGTATCAAAATAAATACAGACAATTACATTCTTTACAAAGCTACACAGAATGTGGTTTAGTATCAGATAATAGAGTGAGCTACAGAAAATGTGTAAGAAACGAGACACAAAGCTCACAAAGCCATGGGATATATGGAAAATGTGCACACAGTTTGCAGAATAGCAGGCTTCACAGAAGTCAGTGAGAGTTGTTGACAGTGATTAAGCCACACATGCTGCACCAGGCTTTCTTGGGGGGTTTTTCCCAAAAGCAACAAGCCAGCACGCAAACCAGAGGGGGCAGCTCAGCCTGCCCTGAGAGCAGCTCTCCCCAGCACTTAGGCACTGCTTGAATGTGCAGCTGTAATCAAATCTGAGTGCTACAATATCACATGCAGTCAAATGGAAAGGGATGCAGAGAGGTTTAATAAAAAGGCAGCAACCCAAATTATCTAAAAAAGCAAGAGTACAGAAGACAGCTGAGAGTGGTGGCGCTAAGTTGTTCACATTAATATTTTATCACATTTTAAATAGCAGTTTACATCAGCCGTTTGGAACTACTTTAACTCCCTTAAAGCATGGCCTTACATGCAAATGTACAAAGCAGCAGCAAATTGCCAACTGTTGTCAGACTTCTCCACAGGATCTAGAAACAAGCCCAAGCTTTAGCAGTGCTAAATTAATCTGTTCTCCAGGAACCCAACGATGGCCACACGCAGTGGCTAGCACCTCCTTGGTCTGGGCAACAAAACAGGCAGTGCTCTTTCCACAGGATACCCCCAAGTTCTTGCTCTTCCAAGCATAAGTGATAACTAGAGAGTCTAACCTGAATTTATTAACTTCAGTCACTTCCAAATGGTGCTATAAACATGCCCAGCTAACAGTTAACTGGTTTCTAATATAGTTTTGAAATTAAAAAACAAACAAAACCCAAAACCATTATTCCTATAGAAAAGCTCTTCCTGTCATGCATAAATAATCTAAAAAACCCCACACACACATCATAGCAGTTGCAAAAGCAACTCTTCATATTTCTTCACTCTGTATATTTCCTTAAAGTCTGGGATATTATACTTCACAATTACAATGCTTGTCAACTGCCCACAGTGCAAACACTAATGATTTGTTCTTACTGCTTATTTCTTGAGAACTTAACCTTCATTTTAACTAGAGCTTTCTACCACCCACATATGAATGCAGCATTCTAGTCTGGAGACAATTTACACCTGAGTTAGTTACCTGGCATCCACCTTAACTTGAACCTGCTTTGCAGGGAGAACTCAGGCTAACTCGCTCAGCTGGCGATGGTCTTCTGTTCACACAGAGTCACACACTTCCCGGCCACCGCTCTCCACCTGCTCCAGGGACAGTCTCCTGGGACTGACCAGGAACTTCAGAGCCGGCAGAACAAGGGCCACGAGAGATGCCCCACACCCCCACGTCAGCACTGACCACACTGAGGACTCTTAACTCTAGCAGAGCTCCCCTGTGGCACAGTCAGATCCAGGCGCAGAGCTTGTGGTCCATCCCTGGGCCTAGCCACGCAGTTCGGATGTCAGCAAACAGCAACTTGGCTTCTCTTTGGTTTTCCCAGTGAAAGACATGATCTAAGCATGCAGTAAGTAAGCAAATCAAAGTCTTTGTGTCAGCACTAATAATGCCTAAGCAGCTGAGAAAAGAGCTTGGCAGCTTAGGGAAAATACAAAAAACGCAAGACATCAACAGCCTGCTAAAAGCCACAGAAGTGGAAACAGGGGAGTTGAACAACCTGGCTGCCAGGCCTGCTTCAGGCTCTTCCTGAGCTTCAAACCACCTGAGGTTGCACAGCGAATGGAGGCTGGGCCGGTGAAGCTGCAATTAAAGGCGTATAGCGCATGGCTGTCAGCTGTTGTTATTCATTTGGCTGCTGTTTTAGGCTCAGAATCAGATCAGCTTTGCACTGACTAATAATAATATTTATGAGTCACAAGATGACCCTGAGGGCTAGAAGCCTACTGTTTCCGAGCCATACTGCTTCAGAAGCCCATAAACAGTTCCCACTTGGCTAGAGACTAAGCAGCGCTGCCCTCTCCACCTCAACTTTCTAACCTTCAGCATCAAAGCAATCAAGACGCTAAAGAACCTACAAACTTGATTCTACTCTCACTTTGTAAATCTCCCTTAACACCCACTTGTTAACAGATTAAGACAATCACTACATTAATACCAAGAGAGGGAATGTAAAATACTCTCTATGTACTAAGTACTCTCTATACTTTCTGGACTACTTTTGGTATGATTGTTTTGTTTGGAATTAATAATAATTGATGAGATATTTATTTACAGAACTTTTCTTTGCTGCCCTTCACCTTTTGTTACAATAGCAACTGCCGGTTTCTTACTTTTGCCTTTATAATTGTTTGTATACTTTTGCATTATCCTAAGCAACATGTATTTGATGCGGCTATAAAAAGATTGAGTCATACTGTGTCACAACAGGGTTTTCTTTTAACTGGGAAAAAAAAGCAAATATTTTTGTATTTCAAGCTGTTTGAAAATAGTAGGTCCAAAAATAATGCACTAAAAACAAGGGGTCAGAAGAGACTATATTCTGCCCCTGAGAAAGAGCCTTCTTTCTCCATCAGAACTCTGTCTGAACTACTGCAACCTACATGCCATAAGTAATAATTTCTATCTCCAACAAAGGGAAAAATTGCCATCCTGACTCTCTTGACAGCTTTTTTCAGTGTCAAACATCAATCCTCCATCAGAAGTGATTCTCAGCCTCCACAAGGGAGTAAGTCAAATGATTATAAACACGTCCTTTTCTTTCCCTTTTCAGGTATGACAGAGTAACTACTGCATAAAATCATTGTAGTTCTGAAGGCATGTGTCTGTCTACTCAGATTAGTTTTATGAATGCAATACCAAATGATACACAGCCACACAAAACCAAAAAAGCTGCACACCATTTACTCTACACCTGACATCAGTGCTCCTACTAATGCAGATGTCTCACTAGTCTCATACATGAATAATTTGTATCAGTTTTTCCATCTAACAAGAAGAAAAAAAAAAAACCCCAAACCAACGATAAAAAAACAAGAACAACTTTCTGCACTGATATCATCTACTGAAATATAAATGTAATCCACTTT